CTAATTACTTCGTAGGACGTGGTGTAAGTAGGTACGCCACAAACTTTATTCGTTTGCTATCCGATGTTGACAACGGCTCTGCTGCAGGAGCTTTTCGCTTTTGATACGAAAACGCCTGTAATTCCTTTTGTAGTTGTTGGCGGGTAGTAATTTCCGTTGTAAATGCAAGCCGTTGTAATCGCGAATCGTATTGAGAAATGTGCGCCAGGGCGGTTGCTATGGCGATCTGCTCTTTTGTGCAATCTTTCCAACAGCTCATTAACGATGTAATAATCCAACTCGCACACGCAGCTAGCGACTCGTTATCTTTTAATTTTTCACTGTATAAATTAATGAGAGTACCTGCACATGTGTTTGTGGATATGAACCTCACAGTGATTAGATCCTTAAATTCCGGCCACGTTATCTCAGGGTATGATATTTAAGACAACCACGCCGATGCGGTACCTTTAAGAGCCTTGCTAATGACGACAATTAGTTGGCCGCCCCGTGGTGGGTTATTGTTGAAACAAATATCTGCCGTTGCACACCATGATCTCGCATCACTTTCTTCTTTATCGGGGTTAAAATCCGGTAGGGCAAAGCGACAACTTGATTCTTGCGGTTGCAGCGTAGAAATCAATGCCATCATATTTTGGTTCTGTTTTTCAATAAGTTGACGCCATAATTCTCCACTATTGAACGATTTCTCAGCCCGTTGATATCCCACTTCTGATATCGGAGAACTGTTATTACCGTTATTCTTATGGTCACTCATTCTGGGCATCAGCAGGGATCCGGGGAGAAATAAACTCTTCGTAGGTTATTAAATGATTTTTCTCTTAGGCTCTGTATACGTCACCCTGACGTTTGTGTGTCGTTGATCTTCCGTAGACAAGATCCGGATGCGACATATATTAAATTGTAAATATACACGGGGTGGAGACCTGGTGTCCTGAAACACAGGCCTCGAACCTAGCTTAGGCATCAGTCTCCCACAATATTCTGGAAATGATAATTTGGATTTTTTGTTTTATTCAAATGTAATGTATACTATATTGTGGTGAGAAATTAAATTATTATTATTATTATTAATTACTACCGTCAGTTTTGGAGCCAAACCGAGGCCAAAATATTATACTGTTATCAGATCGTATGCAATGATTAGAATCAATATTAAGTAGAGTAAGATCGTGTATTCGCCTACCAGAGCAAAGTAACAATAAAATTGCAGTATGACGTGACGTTTGAAATAGGTTATTTGAATCAATTGTGTAATTAGTCAAAAATGAAATTAATTTATCAACGTCCCAAACTGGAGGCTTAGTTACCTTTGGATTCTTTAGGCCAATTGATTTTAAAACATGTCTTACTAGAACGTGTGAACTTAACTGACTTGAAGTTTCAGCGTTACATAGTGTAGATATTACCGATTTATGTAAAAGTATTGAATTATACGATAACTTATCATTTAAATATAAATCACATGAAAACTGCGCTAATTGTGAACCAGAGGGATTCTTTAAATCAAGGTTTTTATTACGACACCACGACATCCAGCGCTTCCAGGCTACCTCGTAGGTTTTTAGAGTCGATTTTCGCCAAGAATTTTTAAGCAGTGATAGTTGTTGCGCGTTCCACGTTTTTATCGCGTCGGACCACCCCCACATTTCCAAACTTCGAGGACAATGTTCTCGACCTTCGGTCGTGGGAGTCCCGTCGACGTGTCTATTAGGTATCTCTGCAGGTTTCTGACAGTTAATGGGGCCGCGAGCGCTCGAGTTTTGAGATCCGCACGCCAGAACACTCTCTCCCATCGAGGTACTACTATTAGGAATACTCCTGTCGACTGGTTTAAGTGAGACAGGACTTTGGGGACTAGGAATGGTGATAGAAATATCCATGCGAGCTGGTAATTCCAAGGGACACTGAAGGCATCGTGGAATAGAGCTTGAGGATCTCTTAGATCTAGAGATACATAATTGTGTACTACAAGAGCAGTCTCCGAGGCAAATAGATCTATTACTGGGGTTCTCCATTTTGCAAACACTATGTCTACACAGGTCGCTAGTAAGTGCCATTCTGGAGGTTGGCGAAGGCGCGATAAGTGGTCCGCATGATTGTTGTATTTGCCCGGAATGTAGTGTATGTTGAAATGTATCTGATGTTGGTCTAACAAATTCAGAATTCGATAGGTTATTTCCAACAGGGCTAATGTCCTCGTACCTCCTTCCTTTCGCAGGTAGGCGACCGCCGTTCTGTTGTCGCTTTGAATGAGGAGCGAACTTTGATGGAGCCAATGAACTTGGGTCTGAAGAGCGTATAATATTGCTAGCATTTCTTTTCGATTGCAATGCAACGTTTTCTCTTCTGACAGACTTCTGACTTCTTCCTGACAGAGCCAAATTGTTCAGTTGTGCCCCCCACGCTTGATCCGACGCGTCTGTAGTCAGAAAATTTTTTGGAGGAGGGTACTGAAGAGGTGTTGACTTTTGACAATTTTGGGCCCACCCGTTTAGTTCCTCTAAGACACCTTGTGGTAGTGGGTAGGACTTTAATGGCAGGACTGGCAGCGAATTCATTAAGATTAATAACTGTCGATGATTCAGCCGACCCCGTGGGACAACAAAACTGGCAAAATTTAGAAGACCTACTATTTTCTGCAACTCCTTCAAGGTTAACTGCTCTTGTTCGAGAGCCTGGTTTATCTTTGTGATGATGCCCTGAGCTTTTTCTTTTGGTAGGGTTTTTTGTTTTTCCCATGGTTTCTATAGTATCCCTAAATAAATTATACTCTTTTGAGGAAACAGAACAGATTTTTCGAAATTTATTTGCCACCCCAGTTTTTGTAATGTCTGTACAGTTATTTGACATGCTCGCGAAGCATGTGAACATTCTGGTGTACTAGCAAATAATCGTCCAGGTATACCAGGATTCTCATGTTCCATTTTTCCCGTAATGTTTGGGCCACCCAGTTCGTGAGCATGGAAAAGGTTTTTGGAGCAGTGCTCAGACCGAATGGAAGACAAGTCATTTCTAGCAACTCCTGGTTGTATATTAGGCGCAGAAAGCATCTGTGCGATTTGTTTACGCTTACATGAAAATATGCATGGGAGACATCTATTTTGCACATCCAGTCCTGAGATTGCAGAAAGTCCGAAATGCGGTACATGTTTATTAAATGAAACGGTTCGGTCCTCACATATTCGTTTAGAGATTTCAGATTGAATATGGGACCTGCAGATCCGTCGGATTTTGGAACCAGAAATAGAGGGGAAATGAAGCTTGGCGAGGGTAGCGCTTTCCTTAGAATTCCCTGCTGTTTCATTTTGTCTACAATTAAGACATTTGTTCTGAAACTGGAGTTTGAAAAGGCCCCTTCGTTACATCTGGATAGACCAGTGGGGGTTTTTGAAAAAAAGGTATGCGATACCCTTGAATTATTTTTAGAACTATTTCTGTTGCTCCCATTTCCGCCCATTGTGATTGGTAGTGTATCAACCGACCTGCCCGAAACGGTGTCTTGTCATTGCTTATACCTTTTTTCCCTGTAAGTTTTTGAGGAGTTTGCACGTCCTCGTGTACTACCACGTCCGGCCGCGAGCCTCGGTTTCGAAATGAACTTCTAGTATTGAAGTGATCACATTGACTTTAAGAGTTACCTGTGGAAGAGTAATGTGTATGTTCGCACTGACCATGGTACTCACCCCGCGAGGGTCGGTTATGACCGGTACGCACATGCGATCCTGGTTCGTTAGATTGGGTCCCACGCGATGGAACTGTCGGTTTTCGTGCGCCTTGCCCCCGCGAGCGGCGGCTCCTAGGTTGGTAAGGCTTTTTTTTTTTTTTTTTTTTTTTTTTGTTTAAAAGACACGACAAGACTTTTGAGAAGATCTTTCAGTTTCGGGAGGCCAAAAAGCCTTACGGACTCCGCCAGCCTTCTCTAAAGTAGAGGTAAAGGGCTCAGCATTAAATATGTAAGTACTTGAAGGAGGTATTTTGTTCAGGAATGCTTTCACTAGAGGATCTCTAACTTGACTCGTAATAGTTTCTCTACGCATTTCAATACTTTCAGCTCTATGGCCGCATGCTAATTGCAAAAGGTCTGAGGATATTTTATGAAATTTGCCCTTTTGAAATAATTCGTCAATCAGACCATTTAAATTATCAAAATTGATACATTCTGAATTTTTTGCCCATGAAAGAAGATCACGAATACCTTCCTGCAATGATTATCTCTGTTTTAATATGCAGTAGGTTAAGGCTGCGTACGATTTGTCAGCATGTGCCAGATGACGTACGGTGTCATATGCTTTTACCTCCTCATTTGTTTCCAGGTCTATAAAGCCAGGACTATGATTATATAATTTTTGCGTATCGGCGTATCTTACTTCTGACCAAGAAGTACTACCAAAACGCTGGTTATCTACCAACTTCTTCAAAAAACTATCGGGGGTTTTTGGAACTAATGGTTCTTTAAGCTTAGTATCAATGTCAAAAGTGAAATCTAAACTTGTATTTTGATGTTCTTGATTTGAACAATCCTCGTCACTAATCTGTTCATAAGGTTGACCACTAATTCCGGAACAAACAGAAGCGTTATCATAACAAGCCGTATCAATGTTACTTGTAGTATTAATTTGTTTGCGAAGCTCAGTGATTTCCTTAAAAAGCTTGTCCATCTGACTGGAACGTCGAGAACGTTTCCTTTTCTTATGGCGGCGGCGGCGGTTTTTGGATCGCGCTTGTTTGCTGCCCAAAGTAGACGTACTTGAAGAACTAACACTTGTAGCACTACTGCTGCTGCTGCTACTTCGATCTCGTTTGCGATTCAGTCTACTCAGACCAGCCACAGCCTGGGGCTGGGTATTGGAGTTGTGATTATTACCCTCCATCACTGCAAACGAATTACGTTTGCAGTGTATTTATAACACTTTACACAGCATAGTTATAATTTAAATATTGATTATGAAAATTTACTCGTAAATATTCAAAAGTAAAAGTTCTTTCTGTAAATAAAAATGTTACCTCTAAAAGAGGGTACTTACGGTACAAGACGTATCCGCTTTGAAGGACACTTTACACAAATTTTTACTTAATTTAAAAAGAAGTATTCACTTAATATTCACTATTATGCAACTTTAACGTATTATGCAACTGTCGCGGATGCACCACTACTGCGCACAAGTTGCTGCGACGGAGAACAAAAAGCCAATGAACAAAAATGGCGTGATACTTTTTACGAAAACTAAAAACTACTCGCAACCACCAGGTGGCGCCACTGAGCCGGAAGTATAAAGGGGATAAAAGTACGAAAACTGGTAAGAAATCGGCGGGAAACGGAAATGCCATCTCATAATAAAGCTTCCAGTGACGGTCAAGTGTTTTAATGTATAGATTACTTTACTTTTAAACTAAATTATTAGGTCTAAATTCTTCTTCTACATTTGTGCCATTGCCCCAACTTGCTGTATGAACAGGTCCAGTAAAGTCAGATCTCAAGTGTGGTTTTTCTCGTTGTGCGCAGCATGGGAGTCGCTAGAATTGATGCAGTTTGTTTGTTTACCAGGCAATAGCACCATGCGTGGTTATTGGTCGTTACGACTGTTCTGTAGAGCCATAGTGTAATCTTTGGTGATAGTCCCCAGCTTTTGCCGAGTACCCGTCTGCATTGGCAAATGACGATGAAGACTTTGTTTAGTTTCTCTTCGCGGTGCCTATTCCACAGGAGTTTACTGTCTAGAATGACTCTTACTTATTTTATTTCTTTGGAAAGAGCAAGTTGAGTTTCAAATGTTTTGGGAAGTCTGCGGTTTACTAAGCTTCGTTTCTTTTGTGAATATGGTCTTCTTTGTTTCTGACGGGTTCACTGTCAAGTTATCTGTAACACACCATCGTTCAACGATCCTCAGTACGGGTCTCATTTAATCCCATAAAACACTCTCAAAGGGATCAAGGATGACGTTAGAAACTAGTAAAAACTTAGCTAAGATCGACAATGACAGAATCTCTGCATGTTGAGTGTGCACAGGTAAAGGGGTTCTGGAAACACACAAAATACAATAATGAATTAAATTTTAAACAGGTTATGCCAAGATCCTTGGAGGTTATAATTGAAATAAGTTTACCAGTAAATAGTAGATTAATTTCCAATCATTTGTCTACTATTATTAATTTTGCTCCACCCTTAGGTAAATGCTGGGTACGCCCATGTCTATGTATTTTAGTTATTGTTTCGGTGACCGGTACCTAATAATATAACAAACATGTTATTTTGTATTCTCTTGCAAGTGGCTTTTGTGTTGGCAGTGTAAATGAAATTATCCGAAAGGAGGGGCGCCGGTGGACTCACCGTCCGCCTACCGGCCCATAGTGTTGCTTGACGAGGTGTGCAAGCTCTTTGAAAAAGTGATTGCAAGGCGCCTCGTCAAGCATCTCGTGATGGTGGGGCCGGATCTGGCGGACAACCAGTATGGTTTCCGTCAGGGGCGCCCCACCGTGGATGCGATCATGCGCGTGAAGGCTCTGGCGGAGGAAGCAGTCTTCTGGGGCGAGGGTTCCTACACGGGGGGGGGGGGGGGTCGTCTACTCGTCTGTAGATGACCCGAGGTATGTCGGGGCACTAGGGACTTTCTTTCTAGGGTATACCTGGTTCCCCGGCTATTAGTACCCGAGACGGCGTGCGGTTTTAGTCGGTTCGAGTCCGACATGCCACCGACAGGTGGTATCCGAGGGGATTTCCGCATGGAAAAAAAAAAGTGTAAATGAAATTAAAGTAAAACATAAAAAAATAATAATAAAATAAATAAAGACACACTAGGCCACACCACATAACCATTTAAGAAATAGCCTGTGCGAAATTAATCCCAAGCATTTTTGTCTTCTATGTAATCTACAATTAAGTAAAATACTGTCATAATTTAAGATAAACCCTGTATGTTATGTACAGATGAAGAATATGCGAAGTTCCCAAAGCTGTTTCACCTTGACGAATATCACGAGTGTCTGAAACAAGCAGACGGGCGCTACTGTGTTGGCACCTTCCACGTCAAACCTTTGCAGGAACCAGATCATATTTACGAACTCATGAAGGTAAACAAACATATACGAGTACACACTAGCTTGGTACATCCACTTACACTTAATAAATCACATGGACACCACCCAATTATTATTAATAATTATAAACTTATATTATCATCAATGTCAATGTGATGTGCCCTTACACATAACAGGAATTCTTAAATATATGTTTATTAATTTTTACCATTCAGTTGATTATTCTTATAAAGCAAAGCTAGAATACAGTCTATTTTGACAACGGCAGCTATTGTATTTTTGTAACATACTGTGAAATAAAGCGTATCATTGTTAACTAAATTGCGAACATTTGACAATTAACTATCAATGTACTGTAAACTTTAAAAAAATAAATGTAAACAATATAATTCTGCACAGGAATACTCTCTTGACGACCACAACTTCAACCGGACGCTTATTCACCGCGGTGTCTGCGTGAGCTCCCGCTGCCCTTCACTATCGCACGTACACAATGTGTCAGAGCGCTTCGACCGCTGCGTGGCACAGGATTCTAACCAACGATCGCTCCAAACGAAACTAACTGAGCTGATATATTGCCGTTCACATGCAGAAGATGACGCTTTCAACAATACCAACGCTGCAATAGAAACGCCTCACAGGGTTTTTGTTTACGCAGTACTGGGTCTTCTAGCGCTGAATGTGATCGGTACTATATATGATAAAGTGAAAGGAGATGATGCAAGTAAGTTTGAAGATTGTATTCAACTGTGTTTAATGCCTATCAGAATCTGAATCTCTTAATATAAATCAGTTACAGAATGATTCAATTTACATTTACAACACGACGATATTTTCTGTCTGCAAGAATTGTTCAACTGAAATACAAAAGTGTTATGTACTATACTCTAGTTGAGTGCTTAGCATGCGACAATTTGAAACTGCATAATATTAAAACACGCGATGTTGGTCCTTCCATTGTTGTAAATGTCTATTAGCTTTAGCTCCTATGGCCCTCTGCCAATACGTTTCCCGTATGCAAGTATGTGTTATTGTTCTATCACTTCTCAAATTCTCTGTAGGATGAAATAGCTTAAATTGCATCAGATAAGTAATATAATATCGTTTCGGTTCTAAAACTCATACTTGACCCATTTATGGGTGAAATTTGTGTCTCGTGTTTGATTGTTTACAAACCCTGACGCGACATGGTTCCTTTGTCTTCTCACTTAGAATTGCAACAACGAAAAAAGTCCTCCTTCAATACACTGTACGCTAACAAATGCTGCAACATCATCAGCAATCGTTAAAGAAATTTACTGCTGATGTTTTGATTATTATACTCTATTTGTTTGTTATAAATTAAAACTGGTGATTGAAAATTTCAGACAAATCAAAGATATTAATGTCGTGGTCCATTTTATCTAATTGGAAGGAACTTGTCGGTCCCTATCCTGATGGAGATCCACGCTTAGCAGCAGTACTCCCATTTGCAAGTTTTAGGTAATAACTACAATAATTTTATTCTTAAGAAAACACATTAGTTTCTTTGTTACAAAAGAACTTGTTTCAAAACTTTTATTTGTAATAGTACCTACACAATTAGTTCGTGATTGTTCTATATAAATGTTCTCAAGTGCTGTCGAGTTGAGTGTATTTAATGTCGATTGATTAATGACAATTCAGAACTCAGAACCGATCTGAATAATCCTTTTATAAGGGTTTACCTTCCTAGGATAGGTAATATTATTCAAATAATAAAAAAACCTTAACTGTGAAAAAAATCAGTGAAGGAAAGGGTTTTACTAGAATTGACCTTGAACAGTTAATTACTCATCATCATCATCATCATCAACAGCCTATAACAGTCCACTGCTGAACCTAGGTTAGGCCTTTCCTTAGAATTTTGGAGGCAGAAGTGATCGCGCGTAGTCTATCGGCGAGTGGCTGACTTCCGGGCGGAGAGCGGATTTCGCCGATCCCCCCCCCGACGAACCGCGCCTCATGCCGCCCTGAGTGTGGCCAGTCACGAGGGGGTGGCGTCCGCGTGTGCCGGACGTCGCCTAAAGAGAGGATAATTTTGAGACGGAGCCCGCACCAGGAGCGGGCCGGCGCTGGGAGGGGTCCAGAAGGCGATAACTACCTGGACCCATCGTAAAATAGAAGCACAAAGAGGGCACACCGTGTGGTTTTAGTCGGTTCGAGTCCGAAACCCCGCCCCGCCACATAGAGAACCCCGGCGGAGTGATGATCCGAGGGGATTTCCACACGATAAAAAGGTTTAGGCCTACTATACCACGCTGGCCAGACGGGTTGGCCACAGGGTTACAGGGTTTGTTTAAAGTTTTCCTTTTCTTTGCAGTGCTGTTGTCCTGCGTAATTTGCTCCCTTAGTCGACTCTTACGACACCCACAGGATGAATAGGGGTGGTGAGACTCGGTATTCTTAATCCGCCACCACACGGACTTTTACGGTTAATTACTATGTATACTATTAATGTATAAAGGGTCCGCCAAATAACTTTTTTTTTTGGAAAATGCTATAAAAAAAACTACTGAATATTTTCTCAAATTTATTTTTTTATTTGAAAGTACAATCCTTCCGGTTAAAAATGGAAAATAATTTCATTCAAATGGCTGCCTCGGCTGGCCATGCAGTAGCCAACACGATCGGTCCAATTTTTAAGCACATTATCGATTGTGTGCGGCTGTATTCCACCAATGGCTTCACGAATATTGTCCTTTAATAAAGCGTCAATTGTCTCTGGCTTGTCGGCGTAACACTTATCTTTGAGGGCACCCCTCAAATAATAGTCCAGCGGTGTCAAATCGCAGCTCCGAGGTGGACAAACGACATCAGCTCTGCGGCTGATAAAGCGATCTTCAAAAACAGGGCGCAAAACATCGAGTGTAGCTTCGGCTGTGTGGCACGTAGCGCCGTCCTGTTGAAACCAAATGTTGCCAATATCCTCCTTTTCAATTTTTGTGAACAAAAATTCGTTCATCGCCATTGACTGTGACATTTTTCTTCGAAAATGAGCAAGGAGTGGATTTTCGAAGAATAACAATCGGAACACGCATAAAAATCGGAACACAAACAAAACGAATTTACGACTTTCGGTGAAATAAATTTCGTGAATTTAAATACATTATAATTCTTAGGTATCATGAAAATCGGAACATTCGGAATGAAATATTTCGGCGTATTTGGGTGTTCCCCTTTTAAAGTTATTATTAAATCGCTTAAACGCGGGGTTCTTTGACCGTCCGCCGCACGCGACCGACGACCAATACATGTCCGCGGCCTAACGTCTTCGTCGCAATGTCCGCCGCCGGCAACGTTTCTAAGAACCTAGTGCTAAGCATTCGTACTCGTGCTGCGTGCGGCGGACAGTCAGAGAACCCCGCGCCTTAGATCAGAAAAAATACCCTGCACGCTTTAAGTGCATTTTTTTCGATGACTATGATGACATGAAAAGTATTTAAGAAAATAATACTATTTTCTTCTCTTGTTTTTCAGTCGTCACGTCAGTGGCCAATGATGATGTTGAGAAATGGCTCCTCATTGATTCAAATATTATTGATGCTCTCTAGCTTCTTTCTGGCCCACTCGCTACTTAATTGTAATGAAATTACCATTGGAATAGTACTAAAACAAATAGGGAAACGTATATTCAGGTGAGTTGGATTTTTTTGTAGTCAATGTTACTTCGGATGGACAAATGACTCTGTAAAGGTCGTAGATCTGGCTTTCTCTACGATTTTGGAATACTTAGAGCCAGTGATGGTTTGATGACTAAAATTTTCACGATGAATAAATATTCTATATCATAATATATTTACTTTATATCAAATATATGCTAACATCAACGGCGTTACCTTCAGCTTCAAATATATATTCCAAACGGAGTTTATTATAGATTTCGTGTTTACGTGAAATAAAACGGAAAAAATAATATTGGTAGCCCCGATTTCGACTTTTGAAAATAAGTTTATGCCATTCGTACTTTACTAGAATTAAGGCAAAAAGTTGCCTCGGGTGACTCAATTAAAGCACAACCAGGAGACCAAGCTCTAAATATATAAATATTAATAGGTAAATTACTCTTAGGTGATGTGATTTCCTTGTCACCAGGATTATGCCTGTTTACATTCTGGTGATTGGATTCGCTGCTACCTGGTGGCCGCTGATGAGTGACGGTCCTCTCTGGCACTCTTTTGTTGGCAAAGAGTCACAAATATGCCGCCACAAGTTCTGGAATCATGCATTTTTCATCAGAAATTTCTTTACAGCTGAACCATTCTGTTTAGCACAAACTTGGTAAGTAAACTAAATCGCCGTAGCTCGTAGTTTTATCTATATGACGACAGAGAATCCAAGTATTTACCTAGCTTCCACCCAGGACAAATAAGTGTGTAATGAGCACGACGTTTTGTTCTGTATTTGGCGGTAATTTATCTGTATATATTTTGAAATATAAAAGTGTATTTATATGCTGTCTGATCACCATAGCACAGGCTCTCCATAGCTCAGGAATAGCTGGTCCTGTGTGAGATGTATGGAGTTATTGTTTTCTTAACCCGACGTACGTTCATATTATACAAATATTATACAAACGTATTTTAAATAAAATGTAAACGATTTTGTTATTTATGTATGTTCAGGGTTTCATTAAATGTATTTCAAATTTGTTTATTATGAAATTTGCTCTTGTAGAGCTCTTCTTGCACCGGTTGTAACTTTGAGATGAACTAAAGGTCAGTAATATGTTATGCATTTATCTATTTTAGCTTTTTGATGCACAATTACTAACATTATAGAAACTGCTCATAGTGCTCATCCTTATTTGTAGTATTTTCTTTAATGAAGAATTTTTTTTATATACAGGTCTCTGGCAGCAGACATGCAGCTATATATTTTGGGATGTTTGGTCATTCTGTGTCTGCAACGAGTGAGGAGACTGGCTCTTCTACTTCTGGGCATCGGCTTTGTATTGTTTAGTATTCTAAACGCCATCTTATCTTACATCAATCTATGGAGACCCTTTATGCTGATATCTGGGCCAGAGTAAGTGGATTTCATTAACGTTTGACCGATTCATTAAGATTGTTCAGTATTAGTTCACGTTAGATATTATTTTCTGTACGATACGTGCAGAGATGTGAATTATTTGAAATGCAAATACAAAATGCAAAATACCTATTTTCATTTTGCATTTGAAATCATTTTATTAAAATGTATTTTGTATTTTGTTTGAAATGTTTTATCCTAATATTGGTTATTTGTAAAATGCAAATTTTGTCATTCTTAAATTCAAAATTCCTTTATTTATGAACGCACCCATCCAAAATGTTGCCAACATAAATAATCTACTGTCCATAATAAAAATAATGGAGGGTAGATGCAAGGAGAACCATCTCTGTGTATGAAAAGTGTCCGTTAAAACGCGTCCAATAAGGGTGGCGCCGCGGTAGCCTCGGATAAATTTATATTGGCTTGAAAAAACATTAGATACTATGTACTTGACTCCAAACATAGTCAATAAATTAACGAGTAATAACTTTCAGACAATAAAAGTATTATATTATATGATATACTATTAGAAGATATGGTTCTGAATTTGTTGACGACACTCAACAAGACAAAAGGCCCCGGCTATGATAGATAATCTGTCATATCCTATTTCCTATTTGATATTCAGAAAATCATTACGGGATTGCATATTTCTGTCCATGTGGAAAAAAGCGCATACCTATCCATAAAAAAGAATCCAAGTCAGTGATTCAAAGTTATCGTCCCACAGATCTATCCTTGTTACAATAAGTAAAATATTCGAAAAAATGATATACAACAGCATTTACCCTATCATTTCACAGAGCATCCCGGATACTCAGCATGGTTTTGTGAGGGGCCGTTCCACTAACCTTTCTCTATGCTGTTATTATGTATTGTGTGGAATGGAGTCTATTGGGCAATTTGACACAATTTATTAAGAATTTTAAAAGGCGTTTGACCGCGTTTATCATGGCATATTTCTTGGAAAATTATATAGATTGGGAATCCATGGAGACTTAGCACGTTGGAAAAGGTCCTATTGACCGATCCGCTCACAAGCTGTAACTGTGGGGGCTTTTAATCTAATTTCATCATTATCCCCTCTGGAGTACCGCAGGGGTCTCACCTCGGGCCCTGTTCTATGTTTTGCTTACTTATATGACATAGACAAGTGTTTTAGTAATTCGAGGCATTTAATGTATGCTGATGATGAAAATATATATTTACAAATTAAATCTATACTTGACTGTGAGTTGGTGCAACGAGATCTGGACGCATTGTTCTTGTATTATAAACGCAATAATATTACTGTTAACATTGATAAATGTCAGTGCATAAGTTTTAGTCGTCGTAGAAGCCCTATCAAGTACACACACAAATTCGGTGATAATGTTATCGCTCGGGTAGATCATGTAAGAGACCTGGGTATAGTGTTAGATTATAAAATGATTTTATCTCGCCATATAGACACCATTACTAGTAAGGCATTCGGAAATCTAGGTTTTATAATGCGTACGTGCGCTAAATTTAAGAATATCAACTGCCTTCAAACTGTTTACCGCGCATAAGTGCAAAGTGTACTTGACTATGGCAGTCCTGTTTGGTCTCCCCAATATGTTACATACACATATAAAGTAGAGAGAAAACGTTTCTTAAGACATCTAAATTTTAAGGCAAGGAGACGACATTTATCATATCTTGACGACTGTAAGCACTTCAGTAGTAGTAACGTGTAGTTTTTCATGCGCCAGTGACCACTATTTTCAGTATACTTTTATTGTCTGAAAGTTATCACACGTTTATTAATTGTCTGTAAAACTCATTGACTATGTTTGCAGTCTAGTACACAGTATCTAATGATTTTTTTAGACACTTTTTACACAGAGATGGATCACCTTGCCTCTACCCTCCCTAATTTTAATCAAGTGAGCAATCTCCTAACGAGAACTGATTCTTCAGCAACCAGTGATAATGCCAATTCTACGATTATAGAAACACTACAATACTAAAAAGATGCAGACAATACTGTAGAATCCTTAAACAGATATCCAAATGTAAAAAACTCTTCCTTAAATATAATATCGTTGAACGACTGTTTTCGTTTGGTGAAATGATTATAGACGGGACATGAAAGATGAACTCTTTGAAAAAATGCCTACTAGTGTTAAAATCAGTGAAATAAGATATTTTATTTGGAAAAGGTATTTCGAAAATAGGTATTTTTCATTTTATATTTAAATACTTTTATTTATTATCATTTTGTATTTTTATTTGAAATAATAAAATAACCAGACATTTACAATTTGAATTTAAAAACTTTTACTTAACTATTTTCCACATCTCTGGATACGTGTATATTTAGTGATCCATCAGAATACGATCGACTATAAAGTTATGTTTCCTATAAAAAAATTATATTTTGTTTAATCTTATTTCCTGGTATAGAAGGAATAGAGAAGGTGGGATTTGGCTATATGCAGATGTGCACAAAGTTGTTCAACAGGATACAGATACAGAAAAATAAGGACATATGAGATGGATGACCATAATTGGGGTGTAATCGGGGCTACCTACTATCTTAGGCTTCATAACGTCAACCTCACCTGCACGCGGTGCACCCTGCTGAAAAACGGACGAGGCTCTGGCTGCAGACTCGTAGCGGCATAACCACACCACTGCGAGAATCACTAAATGTCGATATTGATGACGGGCAGCAGCGCCATCAATATCGACATTTAGTGATTCTCTGCGGTCCCCAACTCGTCTGCCAAGCGTGGTTACCTATGACGAATTCCCTCCAACCACCTAAACCAACCACAATCCACGTCTCTCAGTTCCCGTTAGTCATACTATTCCTGGCCACGGTGCCCGCCATGGTAACGGTGCGACGGGGAATGCGAAGAATCCCTCGGCTATGGTAGGGTAGTGACTGTATTTGGCGACGTACAGTGGATGAACTATGCGGCTGGACGATTGCCTTGTAAAATTGGAAAGAAAAGTGAGCTGTATAAATTGGCATATTTTGAGGCTGTAGAAGTCTAAAGCCAGGGTGAAGATACTATAGCCCTGGATTCCGGCTACCTTCTTCACTTTTCAAGGAGATTTTATGTTTCGTTAAATTTAATATGGCGTCAGATTTTTGGTCCATAAGTGGAGGAGGCTGGCAGTGTGTCGTCAAGGGTAGCGTATCTTGTCTTAAAACTATACAAAAGGTGTATAAGAAGGTTGTATAAGTGTATTTTCCCACGACTACACATTCTGATGATGAGATCTAAGCCATGTTTCATGTGCGACTTCAATGCGAAAGCTGAAGAACAAGTAATAAGAACCGAAAAGTGGATAGTATCCACTATTCGGTGCCGTATGTCATTACAGCATTTTGTCATTTTGGCAACGACTTTAAACTTATGGACCAGTCCAGTGAGTATCACTGGACTGGTCCATAAGTTTAAAGTCGTTCAGTGTCCCATTTCGATGCTTGGCGTTTCTGTAGTCGATAAAATTCGAAACGAAATAATTGGACAAAGAACTGTTACGACATAGTACGTAGAATCAGTACGCTGAAGTGGAAGTGGGCCGGTCACGTCTCCAGGGAGACTGATGGTCGCTGGATCCGCCATGTGCTAGAGTGGCGACCGCGATTAGGCAAACATAGTGTAGGGTGCCCTGCGGCATGATAGACCGACGGCTTGAGGAAAATAGCTGGTAGCGGAAGGATAAGTACTGTCCAAGACAAGGATGGTTGGAGCTCTTTGCCTTCGGTCAGTAGTGGACGGCTATATGATACGGTGAACTAAAAAGACTTTATACAATCTCTGGTAATTCCATGTTCTAGGAACTTGCGGACCATGTTCATAAACGAGCCATCATTTTATAAATTCTATTTGAGTTCTGTGACCAGTTTGTCTGCTATGATGGCTGGGCTCTTCCTCGCATATTTATACTACCAGATCAATAAGACAGGAGTCAGGCGTCATGATAATAAGGTAACTACTTTATAACTTAATTTATTTTATTTAAAGCGTGTAGAACTCACGGTACCGTGGGAAACCAACATCCGTAAAGACCACGCTTTAGAAACGAATAAGTAATATACTTTGCCTTAATCAACAAAATAATTAGAAGTGGATAAAGAAGATATTTCGTTGCATTGTATGACGTGAAAGTGGGTGCGAGGGGTATACTAGCTAAATACCTTTATAACCTGGGGTAACACAGCAGACAATGGAGGTGGGCGCTGACTGAAAGGAGTAGAAGAAAGAAAGAAAAAGAATTGTATTTGTTATAATCAGAAACACTTAAACATAAGGTAGTACCCACCCATAGTTGGGCTCAGAACACTGTTGAGTAATGTTTACTATTAGACTTAAAGTCTTCTAAAAAAAGACTTGAAGTCTAATAGTAAACAACCAACCAAGCATTCATTTTAAAGGTGATTTGTTGCCTATTGGATAATATTCTAGCTTGACATAAGGTTACCAGAAAATAGTCTAAAAAATAACTGTCCAGTACTAACGCAAAGTACACTCGTATAGAATATTTTAAATGTTTCGCTAATAAACTAGTCTTTTCCTATGCTTTTGGCGTTTCTCATAGGATCTCCCTGTGTCCATCATACAGGTCTGCAATCTCAACCTCGTTTTTCATCCGATACTTGCGTCATCTTTTATCCAATCTCCATCATTTGCCCGTTTACCTTAACCCAATATACCTTCCATCTTTGTAACAACAGAAAATGATTTCCTACCAAACACGGATCAACGTCACGCGTATGTTTTATATTGTGCTCGTCTTTGAAGGCATTGGGAGAATTTGATGGGAAGGTGATGAAGAAAATGATGTTGGTTGATTAGCGTGTCCTGCCTGTTTCTTTTCAGATGTTTATCGTTCTTTACCACTTACTAATTTAACTAATATGCTCTTTCTAGTGGTTGTTCTACACGAGTATTCTTATGTTAATAATTTGGCCAAGCTGTGGATACTTTCTGCAAATCTACATGTCCAGAGAATTCTCTGCTTTTTACATGGCTTTTGAGAGGCTCGTAACCTTGATTTTATCGGGCATGCTATTATTTAGCATGTTTAATAGAATGCTCAAGAAAAAGTTAAGTAAGTATTAATTTAACAAAGTTTGACCAGTATGAACTATTTGTTTTAAAAAAAGTAGCTTAGTTTACATATTTGTAAGTTACACTAGACTTTGGGTTTTACAAGAATTGTTTATAATCTATATAAGCGTGACAATTTCTCTTTATTTACGTAAAATTTTTAAAACATTAAAAGCAAAAAGCCAGCTAACGTTTTGTTAGCATACTAAAATTTAAGAAATGAAATTGTGACCAAAATGTAGTCAAGCAGTTCTGAGAATGACCAATACCAGACTTACTAATTAATATCGTTACCTTCAGAAACACACACGGCCAACACTCCAACAAAAGGTATGCAATTCTTGATTTCTCATCAATCTATAGAAGTTCTAATTGTAAGGGAATAGTTACAAAATAGTTACAATGTAGTTCAGCTTGTTATTTTGTATCGTATCGTTTGTCCTACATTTTCCTAATTTTACTTGGCAGCTTCTTTTATAGCCGTCTGTCTGCCTAATACCACCAGCATTAGCTCCCTCAGGAGCTAGGGTGAAGGATACCGGAAGTCTCATTCATGCAAACGAAATTGAGACTTCAGCAGCTCTATGACGCTAGAGTTGTACCTAGTCGTATGTCTGTCCTATAATTAGAGAAGCCATTAGGATAGAAATATCATCTGACCATTTGGGCATGTCAGCATTACGGGCATCGTCATCACCATCAACAGCCTTTAATAGTCCACTGCTGGACATAGGCCTCTGCTTAGAAAGGAGGTTTGGTTAAATGCTTGACAGATATGACATCTATCTTCCAAGATCCACTAAAGACACCAGGCCTGCAAGTAAGATAGAATGGCATAGAAAACCTATAATGAATTAGTCAGACAAAAGAGAAATATGCAAAAGTATGTGGATTCTAAACTTGTCTTTGGCTCGTCTTTCACATATTTTAGTTACTAAATGTTAATCCTAACTCGCCATTGCTTAATGTTAACATCTTAAATACAGATTCTCCAAAACGCATGTTCTCTTGGCGCATCTGGTACCCGCTGGGCCGGTCATCACTTTCTGTTTTGATGTTACACTGGTGCGTCAACATGATGTTTACGGCTTCTACACTACAGCCAATCACCAGAAATGCTCTGAGCGTGGTAAGATTCTATTCCCATAATACTTGATACCGAGTTATGGGGACCAGGAAATATTTTACCCCTAATTTGTTTCTTTACATTTGCAGACTGCAGATACCATAACAACTACATTCGTCACGTACCTGCTAGCTTTACCGGTCACTCTGTTAGTTGAAATTCCCTTCACTACGTTATATTCGGCATTAACCTCACGACAGAAACAAGAATAGAGTACACAACTCAACAATCACTATCATTGTTTTGTAATAGATACGTCTAAACTTTGGAGTCACACAATACAGAATGAGTAAGAAGTAAGACGTGCGCGGTGAAGTTGTGACCGCGCACGCGTGAACCGGTGAAACGCGTGCGTTTTCTTAAAAACGCCTTTCCCACTCGTATAACATAGTTACTTTCTCCAGGATACTTACGTAGCTGGATAAAAAAATAATAACCATAATAAGTACGTAAGTAAGTAAAATAAGTTATGTGTCGTAATAAAAGTCAGGGCTATAGAGTGTCCAAAGTAAGGACATTATTTCATCTGTAAGTCCTAAAACTTTTGTTTAGTAATATTCACAAAATATATATTCAATTTAATTTGCAAAGTTGCGTATCATGTGTAATGCGAATACAGGGAGTTTTTGAAATTACGGGAGTACATTGAACCTACTTACAGAAATTTGAAGCGGAGAGTCGAAACTTTGAATTAACAAAATTAAACAGATTAGAGAGGTCTATTTATAACATATTATTTATACAATGTTGTAAGAAATAGTATTTTTTATAAACTGACAATATAATAATATAGGTATTATATTCTATCACAATAATTGTAAGAATAAGAAAATATTATTATACCTCTATAAAAACAAACAGCCCACAACTATTATTGTGGAGATTTGTAATTGATATGTTAAGGTTACGCAGTAAAAATAATTAGTTGGTTTGTTATAATTGAAATAAAAGTTTACATTACGTATGTATTTTTTATTTGCGCTACTCCTTTAACAATATAATATCAACAAATATCGCTGGAGATAACATTAATTTGAGGAACTGGTATCTTATTCCTCTTATTATATTCGGAGCGCAAACGATTCGATGGGGAACTTGATGGTAAGTGACTACCTCAGTAATTTTTATTTTGCAACTCCTGAGTTGTCCTGAGTCACAATTACGTCGTCGGCCCTTAAGTTGGGATTAAACTCTTTTCCTGAAGGATTGAGGCGTATGGGTTTATGGGAACCATACGTCTTGTTGCGGGACTGTGAGCGTGAGCGTGGACGTGAACGGTTTACATCTCTGTTGGTTACCTGGTAGTAAGTCTGGCAACCTGCTTAATTAGTTCATTGACTTGTTTGATTAAGTCGTCGTTGATGGCGCTGCTGGTAGTTGTAGCCGCGCTTGATACTTGTAGCACCTCTGGAGCAATTTCATGGACCCTAGTTTCTCGACCTGTATGAGATTTGGGAAGCGATTACTGTTTGAATGTTTTTCGGTAACAGGTTTGTTCATACACTCTTCACAAAATCGGAGGCTCCGGAAGGCCCTACTAGGTTTTTCAGATGCCGCAAAAACTGCGATGGCTTACGATCGCCTAGCTCTTCATGGATCAACATCTGCTGTAGCCGCTTTTCCTGTGATGCAGACAGGCGTTTAATTAATTATTCCTTTAGCTTTTCGAATTTATTAGTTTCTGGAGGGTAGGTAATAGGTAGGCCTGATTGCGAAGCGACGAACTGAAATTTTGTCGCATCACCAGATATTCTAGATGGTATAAACTGCCTTTCTAACTGCGCAAACCAAAGAGCTGGTTCTTCCGGACAACATTTCGGGCATGGTGTCGGTACCTAACCGTACTCTCGATACAGCGCCCGATATTAGGAATATCACCTTTGCCGTCAGCTCCATCTTTACAGAGTGAGCGACTCGCTGTAACTCGGCGTTGTGAAAGGTGGCGGTTCAATTCTAAAATATTTATAATCACCACATATTGATCAAAACACTTTAATTCAACAGTTAGTATGTCAACAATAACAATTTGTATTGTTCTACTTCAGTTAACATTTAATGCACTTTTTCAGAAAAGTATTTGGTGTCTATTCGTTTGTAGATATATGAATAGGTATTTAATGTCTGGTTGTTTGTATGGAAACGGTTTTTAAATTATTTGTACGGAAACATTGATCATATTTCATTATCATATTTGTATCCTACCAGCTTCGAAAATAAACAATAGTTGACCACGCTAGCCTACGAGTGTCTCTAGCTAACTAGTTAGAAATTGTTTTCCCAAACTTTGAGAAATGTAACGTGGAAAATCCAAAGGTATTCTGTTTCCTTACGATGTATATCTTGAACAAAAAACAAATTCACTGCCAAATATCCGAACCGCCGATCTTTTACTTTTTTATTCAACTCTTTATTAAACCGCGTAATTGAAATTAATATATGTAAATATAGACAGGCTTATTAAAAATGAATTTAGGTTAATTAAAAAAAAATAATACGTTTCAAGTCAGTGAATACGGAACCTTGTAGAAAATTAAAGGAATATCAGGTAATTAGTCAGTCAATAGTGAAGTGAGCCTCGTATGAGACAGTTCATTAGAATTAGTTCATAATAGTAGAAGAAGGATGCTCGGCGAACAAATATTCAGGTGGATGGTTGTGGTGGCTGCAGGCTCCATCGCTGTCCAGGGATTGAACATTACTTGTAATGTATCATTTTAACTATGCTTTATACTATCTCCTCGTGATTAATCACAATTTATCAATTGATGAACAAATTTAAATCCGCAATAAAACATGGCTTATGTGTGCGTTACTACTCAATTGTGGATTACATGGAAGACAAGAATGCTTGGGATTAATTGGCTCAGGCTATTTCTATCTTAAGTAAAAATGTAATGTGGCTAGTGTGCTTTTTTTATTATTATTTTTTCAATTTTTTATGTTTCACTTCATTTTCTCTTGTATTCGTTTTTTTTTCTTAATCTTGTTTTCTCTTCATTGTCTTTTTACCTTTTAGTCCTTAATAACGGCGATGAGTTTGTTTGCCCTTTTTCTCATAAGGCTCAACCCCTTGAAAACGGGCGGTTGTAGATCGGCACAGGCATATCATATACGGGAGTTGGGTCGATGTCCCGAGGTTCGAGAAATCGATGACCGGAAATCCCAACTCCGCCAGGTCATCATAGGGGAGTGGAGGGGACGACTCGGGCAACCGAGCGCCGGGCACGCCGTCATCGCGGCGGTAAGACCCGTTATGGAGGATTGGCTCGAGAAGCGTCACGGGACTCTCTCATACCGACTGACGCAGGTGATCACTAAGAAAGGATGTTTCGGGGATCACCTGTGTCTGATCCGCAAGGAGCCAACGCCTAAGTGCCACCACTGCGATGGCCAGACCGTGGACACGGCTCTCCACACGCTGGCGGAGGGCCGTGTCAAAAAAAAAACAAAAAAACAAAAAAAGGCATATCATAGATTTTGTATGGGTTTGATTTTTGTTAAATTTATTTGCTTACTTTTTGACAAAACAGAGATTGTTGCTTTTGTGTGTGTTGATCTATGACTTTAGAGTCTACATAAAAGACGATTTCAAACAATTTTGAAAATTTTATGAAATAAAGAGAGTTTGAGTTTGAGTTTGATGCCTCATCATCATCATCAACAGCTTTTAATAGTCCACTGCTGGACATAAGCCTCTCCTTAGAAAGTTTGATGCCTAGTAAAGTGAATCTATATTAGTTAAAGGGCCTGTTGGTTCAGTGGTCAGTGACCCTGACTGCTAAGCCGGAGGTCGTGGGTTCGATTCCCAGGACAAATAATTGTGTGATGAGCACGATGATGTGTTCTGTGTCTGGGTGTAATCTATCTATAATATGTATGTATTTAGAAATATATAAGTATGTTTATCAGCAGTCTGGTTACCATAGTGCAGGCTCTGATTGATTTGGAATCGGCCGTGTGTGAGATGTGTAAAGTTATTATTATTGGTGGGTACAACCATGCTGTAGTGTACATATGCCGCCACGACAGCAATGATACCATGACCTATTTAGTTTTGGAGTGAGGTTCTCGGAGGTCTAAGTCTCCCCCTTAACTATCTAATCTATAAATAAACTTTCTTGCTTTCCTGTTGGAATTGACAGACTAACAAAATAACATAGTTATTTAATATTTAAGCGAAGAATGCCACTATTCTGAAATTACTATAGATAATCAGTTTCATAAGAAACTCATTAACAAATAAAGTTTAATTAATTCATTAAAACAATTCATTAACCTAACCTATCAGGAAGCTCAAGAGAATAATCAAAAACATATCCGTTTTTAATTTGACCTTGTGCATTCTATTTCTAACCGTGGCCTTCAAATCTAAACAAAATCAAGACGAATATTTTACTGTCCAGGGTAAAACTTAATTGTTCCCCATTGCCCGGTTTATCCGCTCCTAATTCATGATTTGATTTCGAGAAGTTGCCTTGTTGCACAAGCCCACGCACCATTGTATTACTCCGCGTGAACTTGGGTACTGGGAGATAAGTTTATGTAATAGGGGCGAAGTTAGAGCTTCAACTGCAAATAGTTGAAAAAAGTTATCATTTTTATGTTTATTTATTAAGGTTTTATTCCAGAAAGGTCTAAAAGGGGCCCTATTTAGTAATAGTGACAGTTTAGTGATAGTTCACTCAAGTGTTAGTCTATCCGTCGTAAACTGTATAATACACCGTAACTGGATTGAATACTCTTTTTTTGAAATTGAATTTTTTGATTCCCTTTTGATAAAAATCTTTAACCAAAAAAAGCAACAAATCACGGTAGAAGCTTATGTCACAAATTAAAATAAACCCCGTATGTTATCTACAGATGAAGAATATGCGAAGTTCCCAAAGCTGTTTCACCTTGACGAATATCACGAATGTTTGAAACAAGCAGACGGGCTCTACTGTGTTGGCACCTTCCACGTCAAACCTACGCAGGAACCAGATCACATCTATGAACTCATGAAGGTAAACAAATATATACACACTCATGCCTCTATGGTTTTAAGGGTAGGTAGAGGTATATGTAGTGCCCATTTTTAGCTAATCATAGTTTGAACCCAGTCACGCAAAAGATGCCTTCTATTGATGCCATCAGCATAAGGTAAGAAATTTATGATAATATAAAATTGCAAAAGCGGAATTTCTGGTAAGTACGACAATGCAAGGAATTGCGAAGTGGAAACAAATCAGATTTGCATACTGGAACTCAAACTGATTATTATCGAAAAAACAGAGCCTTTTAACGAAATAAATAAATATCCATTACATGTCTTTATTCCATTTTGCTAACCAGTTCAATTAAATATTTGGCTTCTCTTGAAGAATCATCCTTCCATCCAATTATCCCTAGCACTAAGTATCATTAGTGATACTTAGTGCTAGGGATATTTGGGCCTACCTTGGAGCCGATTATTGCTAACGAAAAGTGTACGGTGCATAGAAGGGAACTGGTCGTTTCCGTGTCTTTTATACTGCAACTCGTTAATACTCATAAAAAAAGCTTTAAAAACAAAGCGCTTTATTTAAATATGATTAGAAATCATCATGTGGTTGATTTTGCACCATAATTCATTTCCAGGAACCTAAACGCCACGAGGTGTCAGGTATATATACTACGAGTATTTTCTATTGTAGTATAGATAATTTCAGCAACCAGTACAATTTCAACTATCATCATAACAGATTATCACCCGGTACATAAGGAGCGGGTGTAGCTTTAATCATGAACGTGGTTCTTTTCTTAGTCAATAAATTTTTATTTTTACTGGACTTCCTCATTATTGAAACAAATATTATTACATACATCACATTGACATCAACCAACATAATCATCAATGTGTATTTTCGGAACACACTTTGAAATAAAGCGTATCATTGTTAACTTAATTGCGAACCCTTTGACAATTAGCCATCCATGTACTGTAAACTTTTGGAATAATAAATTTAAACAATAGGATTCTCCACAGGAATACTCTCGTGACGACCACAACTTCAACCGGACACTTATTCACCGCGGTGTCTGCGTGAGTTCCCGCTGCCCTTCACTATCGCACATACATAATGTGTCAGAGCGCTTCGACCGCTGCGTGGCACAGGATTCCAACCAACGATCGCTCCAAACGAAACTAACTGAGCTGATATATTGCCGTTCACATGCAGAAGATGACGCTTTCAACAATAATGCAATAGAAACGCCTCACAGGGTTTTTGTTTACGCAGTACTAGGTCTTGTAGCGTTGAATGTGATCGGTACTATATATGATAAAGTGAAAGGAGATGCCGCAAGTAAGTTTGAAGATTGTATTCATTCATCTCTTAATATAAATAATTACTGAACGATTCAATTTTACAATTACAACACGATGGCAGGGCGTATTATATATATTCTGTCTCCAAGAAATGTCCAACTGAAATACAAACTAGTTGAGTGCTTGGCATACGACAATTTGAAACTGCATAATTTTGAGAAACGTGAAGGTCAAACACCTTCCATTGTTGTAAATGACTATTAGCTCCTTTGACCGTCTCCCATTACGTTGGTCGCATGCAAGAATGAGCTCAATCAATTGCAAAATTCTCTGTAGGATGAAATACCTCAAATCACATCTGATGGCATAATCGTTTGGATTCTGAAACTAATACTTGACCCATTTATGGGTGAAATTTGTGTCTCGTGTTTGATTGTTTACAAAACCTGATGCGACTTGGTTCCTTTGTCTTCTCGCTTAGAATTGCAACATCATCAGATTTTTTGATTATTATACTCTATTTGTTTGTTATAAATTAAAACTGGTGATTGAAAATTTCAGACAAATCCAAGATATTAATGTCGTGGTCCATTTTATCTAATTGGAAGGAACTTGTCGGTCCCTATCCTGATGGAGATCCACGCTTAGCAGCAGTACTCCCATTTGCAGGTTTTAGGTAATAACTACAATAATGTTATACTTAAGAGAACACATTAGTTTCTTTGTCACAAAAGAACTTGTTTCAAAACCTCTATTTTTATTTATTTATTTAACTTAATGCACAAGTTGTACACAGGCGGTCTTAATGCCCAAGGCATTCTCTGCCAGTCGACCTACGGGTGATGTAGAAAAATGATGCGGTAGTTGCAAGAGAAAACGGATAATTTGACTTTTTTATATTAAATTTATTAATTTAAGATAAATCTATCTTACATATATATATACTATAAATAAAATACTATATTCACTACTACATATATACATAGAGGTCTCAAGTATACACATACAATACATAAACATACACATGAATATCAAAATACATAGTCGGGTACTAGCGTTGTAACCTCTCTGCCAACTTATTTTGAAGAAGATCTTGTACTTTCTTCTTGAACGTAAAGCGGTTAGTGGACATCCTGATTTCAACTGGGAGCGCATTCCAGAGAAGAACTAACTGAACATAGAAGGAAGAATCGATGAAGTTGGAAGTGTGAGGGGGGGGCAAAGAAGAAGCATATTATTATTTGTTGACCGAAGATTTCGGTCGTGATTGGAGCAAAGGAGGCGGAGATGGGGAACTAGGTACTCAGGCATTAATTAGGGGAATTAAGAAATGAAAAAATATATGTTAGACTGCAGCGTTGACGAATCGGGAGCCATTTCAGTTGAGAACGTAAAGCAGACACATGGTCATACTTGCGAAGTTTAAAAACAAATCGAATGCAGTTATTGAGAAGTCGATCTAGTTTATTGAGGAGGTCTGCATTCAGGTCAAGATAACACACATCACCATAATCGATTAAGGGAGTAATAAGGGACTGCATAAGCGTAGCCTTGGTTTTAGTGGGCAGAAAATTCTTGAGACGATATAAGGCGCGAAGACATGTAGTGACTTGCTGGCTGACGTGGGTGACTTGCGCTCTCCAGTCAAGTGTCGAGTCAATATGTAGCCCTAGGTTCTTAACCACTGGACTCAGAGGTATGATTATGTCGTTAAAAACATCTAGTGGGATGGCCGTCATGACCAACCTGCTTAACATCTGTTTGCTACCTATGACGATCACTTGACATTTCGTCGGGTTAACCGACAAACCAAACCTCATCGACCAGCTCTTTATGACGTCCAAATCTTTGTTAACATTATCAGTAGCGTGTGATATGTCTTCAACTCTCGATTGGTCGTAAATTTGCAACTCATCTGCATACAGGTGATACGCACATTGAAGGTGTTGGGTTACGAGATTAATAAATATTGAAAATAATAACGGAGATAATATACCGCCTTGAGGGACGCCAGTGAAAAGATCGCACCAACTCGATGACAAACCGTCAATACGAACACACTGTTGTCGTCCCTGAAGATAGGAGGAAAACCATTCCAGGGCTTCCGAGGAGATCATAAGATAGGAAAGGATGGATAGCAGAACATCGTGACTGACGGTATGGAAGGCATTCTAGAAATCAATCAAAGCCAGCACTTTGACTTTGGTGTCCTCCATACCCTCCCTAATATCGCCAGTCACTTTTAGGAGAGCGGTAATTGTGCTATGACCAGGTCTGAATCCAGATTGTAAATGGCCAAGAAGCGTCTGCTGGTACACAAATTGCGATAACTGCTTATGTACACAAGCCTCAAGCACTTTTGAGAGAAAGGGGAGTATGGAAATAGGTCGATAGTGTTCAGTGAGAGAAGGGTTATTTTTTTGGGCAAAGGGATTATTAAAGCCTTACGCCAGATTGAGGGTAAATTGCTGGAGTTGAGTGAAAAGTTAATGATATGGGCTATTGCAGGAAGAATTTAACCCAGGATAGTGACAATCATACGACGGCTGATGCAGTCACAGCCCATAGCATTGGAATGGATAGACAGGATGATCCTTTTGATGTCCTCGGAAGATGCCGGAGAAAAGTTACCAATCATTATAACACCAGAGTACACGTATTAAACATACAATGAATTAAATGCAATAAAATCTAATAAATATTATACAAATATATAACAATATTGTACATGCATATAAATATTAAATATTAAAATAAGTTATTACCTTTACGTATTTAATGGTACCGATAATATTAGTTCATGATTGTTCTATATAAATGTTCTCAAGTGCTGTCGAGTTGAGTGTATTTAATGTCGATTGATTAATGAGAATTAAGAACTCAGTCATTTATGAACCGATTTGAATAATCCTTTTTTAAGGATTTGCCTTCCTAGGATAGGTAATATTATTTAAATTTGAAAAAAATACCCCTAACTGTGAAAATAATCAGTGAAGGAAATTTTTTTACTAGAATTTATCTGGAACTGTTAATTACTATGTATACTATTAATATGTAGTTTGTACAGGCCATTTAGCTTGTACACTGTAAAATGGTGTTGAGTAGTTAGTTAAGTTAGTAGTTTATTGAGTGCGGGGGAAAGACAGCCACACGTGTTTAGTATATTTAAGTAAAAATATATAACAATGTATGGAGTAGCGAATCTTTCCTTGATTGCACTTTGTAAGTCTAATATTTGATAGCGTACTGACTTATAAAGTATTAATTAATGTATTTATAACAATAACAACGCGCAGCCAAAAGTAGGTGCACAAAATAAAAACTATCTGTATGCACGATAGTGAGATCGCTTCAGCGTGAATTCACTCCTGACAAAAGCGTTCAGCTTAGTTGGTTGAGCTAGCAAAAATACAAGTAATATGTAATCCATGATGCTGTATATTTTCAGGGTGCTCATGGTGATACTGGTGATATTAACTCATGCTATTGTTATTCAAGATACTATTTACATGGCCAACCCGCTGCATGGGGAAGACGTACGTATACCGAAACATTTTTTGTTGCATTTCACTGGATCGAGATCACCCTAGACCCAAACCCTCCACTTCTAATGCAGTGGGAAATAAAATGTAGCAGCGCACTTGTGTCTCTTGTGTTGCAGGTGTTTATATCGAAATCTTTATTCAAGTAGACAGACAAGATAGTTTTTTTTTTCTTTTAGATTTTTTTTTTCAATTTTGACAGCTGTGATCTTTGTTTACGTGAGACAAGCTGAAACTAGTCTCAAGCGAAGATTTCTAGGCCATTTTAGGGGGAATTAATGTGATTTATTTTTTTGTTACGAAAAATAACGTAAGATTTACTTACTTTATTAACGAAAGAATTACTTGTCATATATAACCAATTTACTTTAATTTACCTTAATTGATATTAAATTTACTGAAATTCACATTTTACACATACAATACTTGTTTAAATTAAAATCACCACCATCTTTTTGTTTATGTTAAAGTATAATACTATTCTAGTAATATAAATTTTAGAAATAAATAGAAATAAAAACATTGTTTGACATTTCAACATGACGTGAACGTTCCGTAATAGCCTTTATCTACTATTTTTTTTATTTATTATTTATTATATTTAATTTTGGACGAACAAAAGCTTGTTAATATGTTAACATTGCTACACTAGCCAATAGTGTACTATATACAAATTCACTGAAATTATGTTTGTAAAAGAAAATTATTTGTAAATAATTAGCTGCGTAATATTGAATAATAATGTCAATCATGCGGAAACGTAATTTAGAACAGACTGTTAGTTCAAATCTATACTTGAAAGTAGTTTGAACTGAGTAAAACTTAAAATGCGTTTTATAATAAGATCGATACTTAAGTTTTGTTCTCTACTTAAAACTAGGTTCAAGCAATCAGAGTTCAACCGATACTTGAGACGTATTTTAATACGGGCCTAAGAACCCGGAGCGCCAATCATTGCCGTACATTCGTATGCTACCGGCGGCGGACGCGCATCGGTCGTCGGTTGCGTGCGGCGGACGGTCAGAGAGCTCCGCCCCTTAAATCTCATAAGAGACCCCGCACGCCTTAAGTCAACTTTTATTGATGACTATGATGACATGAAAAAAATATTTGTTGAAATCTAACCACGTAATAGGACATCTTAAGTAAGAAAAACTGTTTTCTTGTTCTGTTTTTCAGGCTTCACGTCGGTTAGAAAATCTGATGTTGAAAAATGGCACCTCATTGATGCAAATATTGTTCATGCTCTCCAGTTTCTTCATGGCACACTCACTTCTTAACTATAATGAAATTACCATTGGACTAGTACTAAAACAAATAGGGAAACGTATGTTCAGGTGAGTTGGATTTTTTAGTAGTCAATGTTACTTCAGGTGGACAAATGACTCTGTAAAGGTCACAAATTTGGTCGCAGATTTGGACTGCACGGATGGCGTAGTGGTTTAAGCAGTCGCCATGCCGCTTCCTACTACGCTGAGTGTTGTGGGTTCGATCCCCACATGGGGCGACACTTTGTGTGATACACAAATTGTTGTTCTGAGTCGGTTCTCTTAGTGTCCGTTTCATGTATGTTTGTAAAGTCCCCCGCGACACAGAATATATTCCTAATGCGGGAGTTGTCTTTTAACAAAAGAAAAAAAAAGAAGAAGAAAATATGTAAATTAACTTAAATACCGTGTGGTGACGGATTAAGAATACAGAGTGTCACCACCCCTATTCATCACGTAGGTGTCCTAAGAGCTAGGACAACAGCAACAACAAACTCTGCAGGACAACAGCTCTGCAAAAAGAAGGAAAACTTGTAACAAACCCTTTTTTTTTTTTTTTTTAACGTGTGGAAATCCCCTCGGACCGTCACCCCTCCGGGGTTTGCGGGGGGGGTGGTGTGTCGGACTCGGACCGACTAAAACCACACGGTGTGCCACTCTGCGCCTGTAACAGGAGGGATCCGGGAACAGCTGTTGTTAAGACATCCGGACCCCTCCTAGCGCCAGCCCGCTCCTGGTGCGGGCTCCGTCTCAGTGTTGTTCCTCTCTATAGGCGACGTCCGGCACACGCGGACGCCGCCCCCTCGCGGCTGGCCAACTAATGCGGGTGGAGGGGAAACCCACCCCGTCCACCCGCGGCCACACTCAGGGCGGCATGAGGCTGTGATAGCCGGGCCTCCGCCGCCCGGTTCGCCGGCGGCGGATCGGGTCCGAGTGGAGGTCGTCCTCCCGGGCCCTCTCCGCCGCCTCCTTTACTACTACTACCTCGCAGAAGGTTGCGACCGCGGTAAAACAACTGTCGCTACCGGCCATGGAGCGTACTACGGCCGGTAGCGAGAGATCCACTCCGATGACTGCAGTGAGGGCCCGGCGCTGCGCCGCCCATGCGGGGCAGACCGCCAGCGTGTGCTGGGCCGAGTCCTCACTGCAGTCGCAGTGGTGGCAGGCGGAACTCAGTTCCCTCCTAGCGACCGTGTGCAGGTACTTTCCGAAGCAACCATGCCCGGAAAGCACCTGCGTCAGCCGGAAGGAAAGGGTCCCGTGCTGCCGCCCTGCCCACTCGGCGATGACCGGCTGGAGAGCCTCCACGGCGGCAAAGCCAGCGCGTGGAGTCTCCAGCCGGAACGACCAACGAGCCATCGTGGCTCGGCGAGCGGCTTCGCGCCACTCGCGCACATCCTCGGGCGGAGGGCGAAATCCGCTGTCCGCCCGGAAGTCATCCACTCGCCGATAAACTTCGGCGAGCACTTCCGCCTCCAAATCCCACGGGGGAGTTCCGGCCAATGCGCATGCCACCTCCGTCGAAACGGTGCGGTAACCGCGTATGGCTCTGACCGCCATTACCCTCTGAGGGCGCCAGAGGCGTACCCTATTCTGGGCGGTCAGAGCCGCCGCCCACACCGGTGCACCGTACAGTGCCATTGACCGGACAACCCCCGTGTACAGCCGTCTTGTCGCGACGCTGGGTCCACCCATATTGGGCAAGAGTCGCCCTAGGGCAGACGCAGCGCCGACCAGCTTTGGAGCAAGCTGTCGGAAGTGCTCGTCGAAGAGCCACCTCCCGTCGAGGATCAGGCCCAGATATTTCATCTGGGCCCGAACCGGTACGAGGACCGAGTTGACCACGATGGAGGCGCCAGGGGGTGGACCACGACGGGGCCCATGGAATAACAGGGCCTCCGTCTTATCTAGGGCCACCCGTAAGCCCAGCGCCTCAATGCGCCCGACCACCAGGGAGACTCCCCCTGTGGCCAGGCGCGCCGCCTCTTGGAAGTTTGCCCCCCGGGCTGTCACGAGGGTATCGTCTGCGTAACAGATTACACCCAGCCCGGGGGGGAAATCGGCGCGAAGGGCCCAGTCGTACCCTATGTTCCACAAGAGGGGTCCAAGAACAGACCCCTGTGGAACACCGCACGACATGGGCCGACACCTCAGATTACCTTCTCGGTCCTCGTACACGACGGTACGCCTCCTCTAAATAGTCTGCCACTAGCCGCCTCAGGTACTTTGGCACCCCATGATAGTGGAGTGCTTCCCTGATGCAGCTGAATGGCAGACTATTGAATGCGTTGGCGATGTCCAATGACACCGCCAACAGCACGCCGCCACAGCTCACGGCCTCTTCGGTCACGGCCCTCAGGCGCAACACGGCGTCGACTGTCGAACGCCCCGCCCGAAAACCAAATTGGGCGTCCGACAGATCGGGGCCCACCTCGCAGAGGTGCCGGACGATGCGGGCAGAAAGAACCCTCTCAAACAATTTGCCCGCCTCGTCCAGCAGCACGATGGGCCTATAGGCCGCGACCGAATCGGCAGGCCGTCCCGGCTTCCTCAATAGGACCAGCTTCCCGCTCTTCCAGCACTCAGGGAAGCGTCCCGACGCCAAGCTAGCGTCGAACACCTCCCCGAGGCGGTCTGCCATGTGGTTAAGGGCCAGGGCCAGCACTCGGGCCGGTACCCCGTCTGGCCCAGGGGCGGTGTTCTTGGAACGGATCCGTAGAACAGCCGCCCCTACCTCCGTATCCCGGACGGGCGGAACATTATCCTCCCCGTGCTCCCCGTCGTCTCCGGCCAAGGAGGCCATCGACGGGGGAGTGTGTTCCGCCCGTTGTGGGAAAAGGCCCTCAACCACTTCTCGCAGGAAGCTGGGCTGGAGAGTCTCCGTAAGGGGGGGGCCCGACGCGCGGAGCTTTTGTCGCACCGAGCGGTAAGGGCGACCCCAGGGGTCACGATTAAGACCCTCCAGCATCTCCTGTCTTTTTTCTTCTTTGGCGCGGCTAATGGCCAGCTTCAGAGTTTTCCGCGCCCGTCGGTACTCCTCATGAAGCCGGTCCTCCTCACCGTCTCCACGGTGACGCCGCCGACTGCGCGTGTAGGACCTCCGGGCACGTGTACAGGCCGCACGGAGGTCCGCCAGCTCAACAAACCCTACACCAACCCGTCTGGCCAGCGTGATATAGTAGGCCAAAATCTCCATTGTAAGGAAAGGCCTTTGTCCAGCAGTGGGCTGCTAGGGGCTGTTGATGATGGTGATATCCAGTGATGGTTAAATAACTAAAATTTATACGATGAATAAATATTCAATATCATATGTTTGATTCATATCAAATACATGCTAATATCAACGGCGTTACCTTCAACTTCAAATATAAATGCAAACGTTGTTTATTATAGATTAGGTGTTAAGGTAAAATAAAACAAAAGAAAATATTGGTAGGTAAAAAATATTGTTGGTCTTTGAAAATATTTTTTTGCCATTCGTACTTTACTAGAATTTAGGCAAAAAGTTTTCTCGGAATACTCAAATATAAATATCAATGGGTAAATTACTCTTAGTTTATGTGGTTTCCTTGTCACCAGGATAATGCCTGTTTACATTCTGGTGATTGGATTCGCTGCAACCTGGTGGCCGCTGATGAGTGACGGTCCTCTCTGGCACTATCTTGTTGGCATGGAGTCACAAATATGCCGCCACAAGTTCTGGAATCACGCATTTTTCATCAGAAATTTCTTTACAGCTGAACCATTCTGTTTAGTACAAACTTGGTAAGTAAACGAAGTCGCCGTAGCAGAAGTCGTTTTATCGATCTGACGACAGAGAACCCAAGTATTTACCTAGCTTTCCAAATTAAGTTTTCCATTTACATACCCTTGGCTTAGTAGCTTCGACTTCCACCCAGCAAAAGTAATTGTGTAATGGCACGATGTTTTGTTCTGTATATGACAGTAATTTATCTGTATGTATTTTGAAATGTAAAAGTGTATTTATCTGTAATCTGATCACCACAGCACAGGCTCTCCATAGTTCGGGAATAGATGGTCCTGTGCGAGGTGTATGGAGTTATTGTTATTGTTTTTTTAAACCTGGCGTACTTGCATAATTATACAGACATTATAATGTGTAATGAAAAATAAAATGTAGACGATTTTCTTATTTATGCATGCGTTTCAATGTATTTCAAGGTTGTTTATTATTAATTTTTCTCTTGTTGAGCTCATTTACCGTCGGCCATATCTTTGAGATAAGCTTATGGGTCAGTAATATGTTATGCATTTACCTACAAGTATTTTAGCTTTTTGATGCACAATTACTAATAGTAGTATTTTCTTTAATGATGAATTTATTTATATGCAGGTTTCTGGCAGCAGACATGCAGCTATATCTCTTGGGATGTTTGGTCATTCTGTGTCTACAACGAGTGAGGAGACTGGCTCTCCTACTTCTGGGCATTGGCTTTGTATTGTTCAGTACTTTAAACGCCATCTTAGCTTATATCTATCAATGGAGACCCTTAATATTTGCGTCTGGGCCTGAGTAAGTAAACTTAAATAAATAATGACCGATTCGTAAAGTTTGTTCAGTATTAGTTCACGTTAGAATTATTATGAGTATCTGTATGATACGTGTATATTTAGTGATCTATCAGCAAACGAACAACTATAAAGCTATTTTTGATACTTTCTTAAATTTTATTTCCTGGGATAGAAGGAATAAAGAAGGTGGGAGATATGTTTTTTGCAGATGTGAACACAGTTGTTCAACAGGATACAGATATAGAAAAATTGAGATGATGAATGAGATTGATGTCTTTAATTGGGGTGTAAGCTACACTGGGGCTACCTACCACCTTAGGGCTCATAACGTCAACCTCACCTGCACGCGGTGTACCCTGCTGCACGGACGAAGCTCTGACTACCAACTCGTGGAGGTATAACCACACCACTGTGAGAATCACTAAATATCGATATTGGTGAAAGGCAGCTGCGTCACCAGATAGTGATTCTTGCCACTGCGGTCCTCAACCCGTCTGCTAAGCGTGGTGACTATGACGAATTCCTCCCATATGAACAGCAACTACATTCCACGGTCCTCAGTTCCCGTTAGTCACTCTCTCAGTTTTCAATCGTGACCCCTGGGGTCGCCCTTATCGCACGGTGCGACAAAAGCTCCGCGCGTCGCCCCCCCCCCCTGTCTCTCTCCAGTCACTCCACTCTCCAGTCTAGCTTCCTGCAGGAAGCGATGGAGGGCAACGGGCGTATTACACACCCCCGTCGATGGCCTCCTTGACCGGAGACGAAGAGCAGAACGTGGATGATGTGCCACCCGTCGATTCGGGAGCCAGACGTGATACCGGCCCGAGTGCTGGCCCTAGTCCTCCACCAAATCTCAGACCGCCTCATAGAGGTTCGACGCTAACTTGGCGTCCGGTCGCTAGGAGGGAATTGAATCCCGCCTGTCACCACTGCGATTGCAGTGAAGTGAGGACTCGGCTCAGCACACGCCGGCAATTTTCCCGGCTTGGGAGTCGCAGCACCGGGTCCTTATCGCAATCATCGGAGGAGACCTCTCACTATCGGCCGTCATACGAATCATGGCCGGTAGTGACAGATGTTTTACCGCGGTCCCTTTCATCTGCGAAGACACCATCTCGCAGTACGAGGAGGTGGAAAAAATATAAACGAAGATGTTGCTCGCGCCTTTGCGGGCGCTAGGAGGGGTCCGAATGTCTTAATAATAGCAGTTCCCGGATCTATCCAATTACAGGCGCAGAGTGGCACACCGTGTGGTTTTTCTCCGATTTCAACACACCAAGGGGGTTTCCACACGTAAAAAAAAAGGGTAACCTCGCAGAATTGGAAGCGGAGGTGAGCCGTATATATTCACACATTTTGGAACTGCAGAAGTCCGATGCCAGGATGAGGATACCATAGCTTTAGATTCCGGCCACCTTCTTTATATTCGACAGGGAGACTAAAGATCCTAAGGTGGTGTTGGATTTATGGTCCATAAATCACTCAAAAACAGTATGAAGGAGGCTGGCAGTGTATCGTCAAGGGTATCGTAACTTGTCTTAAAACTTTCCTAAAGATATTGGTTGAAGGTTGTACAAGTGTATGCTCCCACGATAACACATCCTGATAATGAGGTCTAAGCCATGTTTCACGTTTGTTATGTTGTACTCCAATGCGAAACCGTTCGGTTACGGGCGTAGAAACCACCGGGTGCAAATAATGTAATGATATACGGATCCGAAACGTAGACAATGTGATTGTCCACGTTTTCCTCCACAAGTTTCAAGTCACTCAGTGTCCCAATGCACGCTCCATTGCACATGCGATGCTTGGCGTTTCTCTAGTCGATAAAACCCTAAACGAAATAATTCGACAGAGAACTTTAGTAACCGACATAGTGCGAAGAATCAATACGCTGAAGTAGAACTGGGCCAGTCACGTCTCCAGGCAGATTAATGGTCGCTGGAGCCGACATGTGCTACAGTGGAGACCGCGATTAAGCAAACATAGTGTAGGGCGCGTTGCAGCGCGATGTACCGATGACTTGAGGTAAATGGCTGGTGGCGGATGGATGAGGATGATACCCAAGACCGGAATGGTGCGAGCTCTTTGGGAGAGGCCTTCCGTCAGCAGTGGACGGCTATATGCTGAAGTAGACTAAAATGGCTTAATATAATCCCTGGTAATTCCATGTTCTAGGAACTTGCGGACCATGTTCCAAAACGAGCCATCATTTTATAAATTCTATTTGAGTCCTGTAACCAGTTTGTCTGCCCTGATGGCTGGGCTCTTCCTCGCATATCTATACTACCAGGTCAATAACACAGGAGCCAGGCCTAATGATAATAAGGTAACTACATTATAACTTAATTTATTTTATTTATATGGGTCCTAGTTGCATTATTTATTTTATTTATTTCTTAATATGTTGAAAGTTTGACGTAACTTTACTTCAGTGTTTATTTCTCTACGCTAAATAGATTAAGCATGTAGAACTCACGGTACCGTGGGAAACCAACATTCCTAAAAATAAAATAAAATAAAATAAAGACCACGCTTGAAAAAAGAATAAGTAAAATACTTTGCCTTAACCAACAAAAACCTTTAAATGGATATAGAAGATATTTCGTTGCATTGTATGACTACATATGGTATACTCGTACTAGCTAAATCACTCTGTAACACAGTAGACAGTGGAGGTGAGCGCTGACGCGTCGAAAGGAGTAAAGAAAAGCAAGAAAGAAAATTTTATCTGCTATCATGAGAGACACAGACATAGGTAGTACCCACCCATGGGAGGGCTCACAACACTATAATCATGTACCCTATTAATAAAAGTAAAAGTTGACCTCAAAAAAGGCGTTTAGTTTACTAGTAAATTTTACTTACTGATGTTAATATTCTAACAAATTATCTATTAGGAATGCTAACAAATTTTAGATAACTTATATTGAGTCTTACTACTGTGCCAAATAGGCGTTCAGTTCAGAATGTTTGCCAAGCGAAGGCCCGTGCTGGTTTTCAACTGGAAACCCCTAAATTTCCTTATCAACAAACGCCCTAAACCTACTAAAACTGAGTCGCAAGTCTCAGGCGCTGACGCTAAGAAATAGCTCTGTGTGCCTTTAGCGTCTTACTCGTACTATGTTGGTTTCAGTTTCTATTACAATACTTGTAACAGCGGTTAAACATAATAAATAGTATTTTTGTCAACCCTTCAGATAACCCAAGTATTAATTTTAAAGGTGACTTGTTGTCCATTGGATGATATTCTAGCTTGACATAAGGTCACTAGAAGAAGCGTCACAAAGCACACTCGTCATAATATTTCAAATTATGCGCTATTAAACCAGCCTTTCCCTATCCTTGTGGCCTTTCTTATAGGATCCCGCTGTGTCCATCATAAAAGTTTTCAATCTCAACCTCGTTTCTCATTCGATACTTGCGTCATCTTTTATCCAATCTTCATCACCTATCCGTTTAGCTTTACCCAATGTACCTTCTATCTTCGTTCCAATAGAAAATGATTTCCTACCTAACACGGATCAACGTCACTCGATTGGCGATAAAAGAATCCAGCTGAAATCTTTAGCTAAGTCTTAAGTATATTGTGCTCGTGTTTGACGGAATTGGGACAAATTAATGGGTAAAAGTAAAAGGTAATGAAGAAAGCGATGTTTGTTGATGAGCGTGTCCTGTTTTTTTGCAGATGTTTATCATTCTTTATAACTTACTAATTTAACTAATATGCACTTTCTAGTGGTTGTTCTACACGTGTCGAACAAGTATTCCTATATTAATAATATGGCCAAGCTGTGGATACTTTCTGCGAATCTCCACGTCCAGGGAATTCTATGCTTTTTACATGACTTTTGAGAGGCTCGTAACCTTGATACTATCGGGCATGCTATTATTTAGCATGTTTAATAGAATTGTCAAGAAAAAGATAAGTAAGTATTAATTGAAAATTTTGACCAGTAAGAACTACGTAAAATTAATAAAATTCTAAATGCAATTTCCGATGGCTCAATTTGTTAACGTGCTAAAATTTAACAAAATAAATTGTGCTAAATATTGGCACAATTTAATTCTTAAATTTTAGCCAAGCAGTTCTGAGAATGACCAACGACAATGACAATGCATAACTTACTAATTAATTCTGTTACTTTCAGAAACACACGCGGCCAACATTCCAACAAAAGGTACGCCAGACTTGATTTCTCTTCAATCTATAGAAGTTCTAATTGTAAGGGAATACTTACAATATAGTTCAGTTCTTTATTTTGTATCGTATCGTTGTCCTGCATTTTCCTAATTTTACTTGGCATAAATGCAATGTGAAACATTGCAAAATATTTTGACTGTTTCTTTTATGGCCGGCTGTCTGCCTGATGCCACCTTGGTAATGAAATCAGTTTTCAGTATCATAAATTAAGTGAGCTCAATTCAACCCATTATCCATAACCATAACCCGGTATCCATCACCTGAGGGAGCTAGTTCCTCAGGAGCTAGGGTGAAGGATACCGGAAGTCTCATTTATGCAATCGAAGTTGAGACTTCAGCAGCTCGACGAGGCTAGAGTTGTACTCGTATTTATGTCCTATAATTAGAAAAGCCATTAGGATAGGAATATCATCTGACTTTTTGGGCATGTCAGCATTATGGGCATCGTCATCACCAACAACCTTTAATAATTCACTGCTGAACATAAACCTCTTTTTAAAAATGAAGTTTTGGCCTACTATACCACGCTGGCCAAACGGGTTGATATAGGGTTTGTTTCAAGTTTTCCTTTTCCAGTGCGGTTGTCCTGCGTAGTTTGCTCCCTTAGTCGGCTCTTACGACACCCACATGATGAATAGGGGTGGTGACACTTCGAGAGGCGTCACGGGACCCTCTCATACCGACTGACGTAGGTGATCACCGGGAAAGGATGTTTCGGGGATAACCTGTGTCTGATCCGCAAGGAGCCAACGCCTGAGTGCCACCACTGCGATGGCCAGACCGTGGACACGGCTCTCCACACGCTGGCTGAGTGCCCGGCGTGGGTTGAGCAGAGGCGAGACCTCGTGGCGGCCATCGGAGTGGGAGTTCTCTTGCTCGATAGCCTGATTGCGGCTGCCGTTCCCGGCCCGCCAGGCCCGGGAACGGGCCAGGTACCGCAGGCGACTCAGGCGCCGGCGGTCGCAGAATGACCTCCGTCCTCCATAAGCGCAGGCCTGGGGGTGACAGGTGAGGCCATCTGTCGCCCTAGCAGAAGCAGGCCGGGGTGGCGGCGAGCGCGTTGCGAAGCGCGCTCGCTTCCAGAGAGCACAGGGAACATGGGATTCCCACACGGGGGGGGGGGTCGTCTACTCGTCTGTAGATGACCCGAGGTATGTCGGGGCACCAGGGACTTCCTTTCTAGGGTATACCTGGTTCCCCGGCTATTAGAACCCGGCGACGGCGTGCGGTTTTTGTCGGTTCGAGTCCGACATGCCACCGACAGGTGGTATCCGAGGGGATTTCCGCATTTCTTACATAACCCGGCAGTCACACGATTTGGTTAAATCATCATCATCATCATCGTCGTCAATAGCCTTTACTAGTCCACTGCTGGACATAAAAAGGAGGTTTAGGTAAATGCTTGACAGATACTCGTATGACATCTATTGAAAAATATATAAGTATGTTTATCAGCAGTCTGGTTACCATAGCACAGGCTCTGCCTAGTTTGGGATCAGACGGCCGTGTGTGAGATGTGTGAGGTATATTATTATTTATTTATTTTATTTATTGTCCAAGATCCACTGAATACAGTTAGTAGTAGGCCTGCGAGTAATTTTGGTTACTAAATGTTTATCCTAACTTGCCATTGCTTAATGTTAACATCTTGAATACACTTTCTGTCGTGATGTTACACTGGTGCATCAACATGGTGTTTACGGCTTCCACACTACAGCCAATCACCAGAAATGCTCTGGGCGTGGTAAGATTCTATACCCAAAATACTTGATACCCCGTTACGGGGACTAGAACATATTTTACCTCTAATTTGTTTCTTTACATTTGCAGACTGCAGATACCATAACAACTACATTCGTCACGTACCTGCTAGCTTTACCGGTCACTTTGTTAGTTGAAATACCCTTCACTATGTCATATTCGGCATTAACCTCACGACAAAAACAAGAATAGAGTACACAACTCAACAATGACTATAATTGTTTTGTAATAGATACGTCTAAACTTTGGAGTCACACAATACAGAATGAGTAAGAATAAGACGTGCGCGGTGAAGTTGTGACCAAACGCTCTAAAAACGCGTTTCTTACTCGTATAACATAGTTACTTCCTCCAGGATACTTACGTAGCTGGATAAAAAAACAATAACCATGATAAATTGCGAGATACTAACGTGTCGTATAAAAGGTGAGGACTACAGAGTGTCCAAAGTAAGGACATCATTTCATCTGTAAGTCCTAAAATTTAATTTGCAAGGTTGCGTATCATGTGTGAATACGGAAAAATTTAAAGACTTCAGTGAGTTTTGAAATTACGAGAGTACATTGAACCTACTTACAGAAATTTGAAGCGGAGAGTCAAAACTTGGAATTAACAAAATTAAACAGATTAGAGATGTCTATTTATAACATATTATATATACAATGTTGTGAGAAATAGTGTTTCTATAAACACTGACAATATAATAATGTAGGTATTTGATTATAATAATTGTAAGAATAAGAAAATATTATTATACCTCTATAAAAAGCAGCTCACAACTATTATTGTGTAGATTTGGTGACTAAACTTGGCCAAAATCCTCATTTCGGGTCTCAAAATGTAATTACCTTTTTCAATTGTTTGTTAACTATAGTGGATGAATTAAGGTTATGCAGTTAAAATAATTAGTTGGTTTGTTATAATTGAAATAAAAGTTTCATTACCTACGTTTTTGTTTGCGCTACTCCTTTAACAATATAATATCAACAAATATAGCTGGAGATAACATTCTTTTGAGGTAGTGGTATCTTATTCCTCTTATTATATTCGGAGGGCAAACGATCCGATGGGAAACCTGATGGTAAGTGACTACCTCAGTTATTTTTATTTTGCAACTCCTGAGTTGTCCTGAGTCACAATTACGTCGTCGGCCCTTAAGTTGGGATTAAGCTCTTTTGCTGAAGGGTTGAAGGGCGTATGGGTTTGGAATTACTATAGTCTACTATTTGTTTTTTTATGTCTACTATTTACTATAGTGACGGGTTAAGAATACAAAATGTCACCACTCCTTCATCCCGTGGGTGTCGTAAGAGCCCACTAAGGCAGTTTATGTTAATTTGGCAGTTTTATGTTACTACTATTCAGAAACTTTCAGTATGCCCTAAGTATATAGTTATAAAGTAACTATATACTTAGGGCATACTGAAAGTTTCTGGATTCTGATAAATAAGACTAGATATAAGACTTACGATACTTTTATTGTTTTTCAAAGTATAAATGAAATGAAATCACTGTACAAAGCAGTTGGATCAGTCTTTCTTAGGGACATCTTCATTGGCTTCATGGAACGCATTCACCGTTGGTTCAGGGATCGTGAAATGTGTGCCTCTAAGTTTGTCTTTAAATTATTGGAAACAAAAAGAAGTGGCAGGATGCGAGGTCCAGGCTGTAAGTCGGATGCGTCATCAGTTCCACATTTGAAACCGTCAAATAGGCTTTTGTTACCTTAGCGGAATGTGAGAATGCGTTATCGTAGTGAAGGAGGAGATTGCTTCGAGGATTCTTTTGCAAACCTTTTCTAAGACTCTGGGCAAGCAGATAGTTTAATGTCCTGATTTGTCAAAAAAAAGAAGCAACCAATTTCTTTTTTAAATAAAAGATTATTTATTCAAACGGCTAAATAATCTTTTATTTAGTAATGCCTAAGACATTACTATATTTAAAAAAAGATAAAGTAAGCATTTAAACTTGCCTATAGTTAACCGTTCAATCCTAAACTCGAGCGACTGGTTCCATGTACAGCATATCAAGGTTTTCTTCTGCATTGATTTTCGAATACACCCTCAGGAATAAATCTTGAGATTAACGCCAAGGTAGCAGTGACTATGTAGATAGCACTCCCAAAAATAGTACTATTTTTGGGAGTGCTTACGCGATGCGTCCTGTCTCGAGTATCCCAATAAGTGATTGCGCCAATTATAGAAGTGCCAGCCGAGGACTTAGAAAAACCCGAGATTTTAATTCTAAGTTTAATGACTAAAACTAATAACAATAAAACTTAACCTAACTTAAGACTAGGCGACTCGGTGGATGTTTATAACGAAGTGTCCGTTTAATCTTTATTGTAATTAAGGTCAGCTTAAATGCACCTTACACTATTTTGCAAGCATTTTATCTTCAAATCAGCTAAATCCGTGGAACATTCTTTATTGCGTAAAGGGTTAATCTATTGATCAGCGATCCTGGTGCAGGCAGCGAGTAAAAAAATATGCAAATAAAATGAAATAATATTGATAATAATATGAATGGCGGGTTTATATGAAAGCTTCATTGAATAACAAATTCGGCGCATTAATTTTATAACATTTGTCGTGACCCCGAGAGTTAAAGTAACAATAAAATTTAATATTAATATAAAAATATTTCATGGTCAAGTTATTATATAATGAACAAAGCTCTGGTTAGTAGTTGAGCATTCTCATTTTTTTATTTAGTTAAGTTTTTTAATTAATTTTAATTTTAAATCTGTGAAGGATGTGTTGTTATACCTACGGCAGCATTAACAAGATAGATCAATCAAACTATGATGATGCCGCTGAGCTCAAAACCCGGTTAGACCTTCGTCGTTTGTGACTTAGGCTTGAAGTCATTTAGCCCTACTGTAATATAAATAAATCAAGGAGACATTAAACAAAATCTACAATTTGTATCCTGTATTACATATTCACTGCTCCCAAGCCACAATGTAGCATGATAACAATCTGACAATAATCTACAAAAGGGGAAGCCCACCATACATAGACACTTTGGCCCTAAGTGCCTACATATAAAACCATATGGAAATGATAATATACATTTTAAAAAATAAAAAAATTAAGAAATTGGTATTAAAAAAAGTCCGGATTTTTAAGACATAAAATGATTTTAATTTTCAGAAATACCTACAGTTTTTAAGCAATTCTTTTTTCTTATTCATCATTTTATTGTAATACACATACAATGTCAAGTTTT